ATGTCTGTTGTGGTGCGCACAGTCACTCTGGGCAAAACACCAGAAATAAAAGAGCACTTTTTAGGATTTCTGATAGCTCCAGAATCCACTGGCCTGGGTTTGTCCAATCTAATCCTTAACAGGCTTGAGGAATTGAACATCCCTTTTCAGGGTTGTCGGGGGCAGTCCTATGACAATGGGGCTAATATGAAGGGAAAAAACAAAGGTGTGCAGGCTAGGCTATTAGTTAAGAATCCAAGAGCTTTTTATGTGCCTTGCAGTTCTCATACACTAAATCTGACAGTCTCAGATGCGGCTAAAGCATCAACGGATGCTTCTTGTTTTTTTGGAAATGTGGAGAAGGTGTACAATTTGTTCGCTGGGTCCACTCAAAGGTGGGCCATCTTACGGAAGTTTGTTGACATCACCCTCAAGTCCTGGAGTGAGACACGCTGGGAAAGCCGGATAAAAAGTATTGAAGCTTTGCGCTACCAGTCAGAGAAGGTGAGGGAAGCCCTGCTAGAAGTGAGAAGTAAAGCGACTGACCCTGTAGTGGCTGTTGAAGCCAACTCCCTTGCGGAAGAGATAGGTTCATTTAGGTTTCAGATTTGTTGTGTTGTCTGGTGTGACATTTTGTCTAAAATTAACATCACGAGCAAGCTTCTACAGTCAACCAACATGCAGCTTGATGTAGCGGTTAACCTTGTAAAAAAGAACAAAGGCGAACTTATCAGTTACAGAAAAACAGGCTTCTGTGATGCACAGACATCTGCGAAATAAATTTGTGAGCGGATGAACACAGAAGCAGTGCTGAAAGAGAAGCGATTGCGTTCTACAAAAAGGCACTTTGCCTATGAGGGTGCAGATGAGCCGATAGTGGATGCTATGAAGAGGCTGGAAGTGTCATTTTTTAATGCTGTATTGGACTGTAGCATTCAGTCATTGGAGGATAGATTTAAGTCTCTAAGTGAGGTTAAAGACAACTTTGGAGTGCTGCTCAATTTTAGGGAGCTAGATCAAAAGGTCCGGAGGGAACAATGTGAGCTTCTTGGGGAAAAACTCTCTTGTGGAGAGGAGGCTGGTATTGATGGTAGCGCATTAGCATTAGAGATAGAGAGTCTTCCGGAACTTCCCAAAACTATGATGACTGCCTTTGAGCTTCTCACATACCTCTCTCAAAATGAGATGTGTGAGCTTTACCCAAATCTTTGGGTAGCTCTCAGGATAGAGACAGTTGCCTCAGCAGAGAGGAGCTTTTCCAAGCTCAAATTGATAAAAACATACTTGAGATCATCAATGGCCCAGGAAAGACTAAGTGGACTTGCAGTCATTAGTATTAATAACAAAGTTGGCCAAGCAATACCATACAATGATGTCATCAGTGACTTTGCCTCCAGAAAAGCTAGGAAGGAACGATTTTGAGGTCATTGTTGTACAATTGTCATTGTTGAACCCTTGCTGTTCTTATGTTTGCTTTCATTAAAGGTGCAGTGTGTAACATTGAGTATTTATTAACAGAAATGCAATATGACATCCATAACTATGTGTTCAGTGGTGTATAAAGAACTTACTTAATAAACCGTAATGTTTTTATTACCTTAGAATGAGGCATTTATATCTACATAGGCGCGGGAATCCCCTTCTATGAAGGTCGCCATATTGTACCTTTAAGTATCTTTTTTTGTAACATACTATTTTTGATTATATTAATGGTTGTCTATTTTGGTTTTATTTAAAAGATTGCACATTTAATGCACATTTGCAAATAATTTATTTAATATGTTTTGTGACAGTTTGTATTTAGAAGTTTTAATAAAAGAGTGAAGTATTTTAAGTATCGTTTATTTATTTATTTTGTATTAATACATAACCTCACTGTATTCGTTTATAATATTCGCTTTAACATTATAGCGTGACATTTGTGTCAATAATCTTCTAGCATATGTGATTCTGCGTGGTGGGAGGGGGGCCCCCAAATCAAATTCTGCTTAGGGCCCCCAAGAGGCTCGGGCCGGCACTGACCCCACTATGCCACCACCACGTATTACAACCTCAGTAATAAATATAAAGTAGAATTATCACCTTTCTGACAATGTCAACAACAACTGAAAATGTATAAAAATAAAGGAGAGCTGTTGTATTGGATTGAATTGGGTTACACACGTGCACCTGATGAAGTGGCCAGTGAGTGTACATGCAGTTGTTGTGTTTCTTCAAGTTAACCTAACAGTTGTGTCTAACTAACTGAGGAGTCAGATGAGCCAGGCATCACTGACACTCCTGTTGCTCTTGTCACAGCAGTCACAGAGGACACTGCAGATCCAGTTCATTTCAGTCCTGCAAGCATTTCTATTGTTGTGGAAGACGATGTTGTGATGAGTGATATCCCTAACTTGGCTGATGCATTTGCATTGTTGTTTGGTTTGATGTATGCATTGCATTTGGACTATCCCAAGAAACTCAGTCACACTTTTACGTTCATCCAGAAAATCCTAATGGGTCTTGATGATGGTAAACACTTAAACCCAGCCTACTGAGTCTCAAAAATGACCTGTTAATGAAAGAGTAGGCTAGCTTAAGAGTTGTGTTTACGAGAAAATACACATGTATTTACACATGTAATACTGTTTACATGTTGATGTGTTTGTGGGTTTCCCAGATTGGTAACTTTATAGTATGTTGTTGAACACCATGTTAGTCAAAGCATTTGAAACTGTTTAAATTTGGCAGATTATGTCTTGCCCACCAAATCTAACGTAGTTACTGTTGTTTATACTTATCGGTTGTACACCAACTTGGTGCTCTGAATCCTAAAATGATGTGAGATGTGCCTTTTTTATATTTTGTTTTTGTAGGTTTTTACAAACAGGATAGATTTGATGTTTTGATACATTTATTTTTTAAAAAATTTGTTTAATTCCATTTGCACTTTGATGGTCATGGCTGTTACTAATGCTGTTTTAAGAAATCAGGCCATACTTTTTATATTAAGCACTTTAAGATGGTCAGTTCTTGATTATCTTCCACACACACACACACACACACACACACACACACACACACACACACACACAAAATGAGTTTAACAAGATGTTACTTGTATTTGTAGCTAGAGCAGAGGTGTTTAATTGTGCTGTGTCTATGTAGCTTTTCATTCCAACTAAATACTTCACCAGGTAATTTCACTGGTTAACACACTTACAGCTATTGGGTAGAGGGTGAAACTAGTATGTGACTTGAGTCAGTTAGCGCATCATGGCACATGGTTAGACACTTCTGAGCTAGAACAGAGTTTTAAAAAAAATGACTGCTGTTGATGGTCTGACATGTTTGTATAAAACAATTTTTTAGACTGAATAAAAGAAAAAAGAAAAATGTACAGATGAAGTTTTTTTTTTTTTTTTTTTGTAGTTTTAACTTGTACATTTCATTAGCTTGTGGGTTATACACAAGCATATTTTTTGAGTTAGTAGATTTATATTTAATTAAGTACAATTGGATCAAAATAATTAAAAATGGAGAAACAAAAAATGTGCAAGCGTTGAACAATATTTTTAAGCACGGTGCACTTAAAAAAAATTAAATATAAAATTTAAATGTTTAAGTTTGATTAGATTGTAACTTAAAAAAAAAAAATTACTTACCTCAAAAGTTATTATGTAATAAGTTTCTGCTAGAGTTTTGAGTACTACGAACTTATAGGGGTTTACATTAAGTGAGGATAGTCTACTAAGTGGTGTCCGCAGAATAATATAGGGTTCATAGACAATTGGAAAAGTTTTTGGGGCAGACCTGACCTGTTGAAAAGAGATGGTATCCATCCCTCCTGGGATGTCGCTCTTCTCTCTAGTAATATGGCACATAGTCTCAGGGTTGATCCTTGACTATCTGATTCTGGGGCTCAGGTCAGGATCAGGAAGCTGTCACGACACACACTGGAGAGAGACAGCTGATCCAATTGCAGTTTGATGTTATTTATTGGGTAATCCGTAAATCATAAACCAGTCCAGGCAAGGGTCAAATACCATATAATCAATCCAAGACGCAACAAGGAACAGGTAGGCACAGGCCAAGAAGTGTCAGACATAAACAAGGACTCCGTAAAGAACACTAACACAGACAGGGAATATATACACAGAACTAACAAGGTGACGGGAAACAGCTGAGTGCAATGAACTGATGATTGACAGACAGAATGCTGGGAAATGAAGTCAAACGTGAAAGACACTGTGAGAACGAGGACCTCTAGTGACAACCCAGGGAAACACAACCAGACACTTTGACAGAAGCAGAGAGACTGGCTAAACTGACCGTCTGCTAGCTGTCTCACATCACAGAAGTCAGATAAATCCCATCACATAGAGACTCTTTCACCTAGACTAGATATCATCATATAGAGACTGTGTCTGTTCCCCGAACTAGGAAATACAAAAAACTCCCAAACCTATTTAAGGGTAAAAATGTACTTTATGTTCAACAAATAAAACATTTTTGTCAAAGTTCTGTTGCTTGTCAGTTCCTGTTTTTATTTAATGTGTGTGGAGTATGCTATGATTTCATCTGGTTTTCTTCTGTGTATATAAAATACTTTATATATGATATCTGTGTCAAGCGTTTTGGATTCTATCTTTCATGTTATCCTTATATAATATGTTAATCTTTACTGACATGTTTTACCATTAAAAAAACAATTCATAACTGTATATTAAATATAAAGCAGCTATATTGTCAAATTGATTGTGTAATAACAATAACAATTTATATATTTATATACAATAATTTATTATTGTATTGAAGTAATAATTATTGTATATACATGTTTGCTATTTTACATAGTTACAGCACAGTGAAATAGCTAAAAAAAAAATGTTATTAAGTTTAAGTACAATAGGTATTGGGAATCAAAATTGTTTTGTAAAATCATCTGTTTCTAGTCTCTTGAAGGCACTCCAGAGATGATCTACAGAGCACCTGTGGCCTAGCTCGGATTTTCCCACCTGTGAAGGGCTGAACACGTCAGACTCAAAGTTAATCATCCTCAGAAACTTCAGTGCACTGAAACTGAATAGGTCTCCGGTTTCATTTAGCTTATTGCCAGTCATATTTAAAATCTGAAATGTTACAGAATGGCATTTATCTTGTTTGGCTTCTGTTATTGTTTGGGTTGAGTAACAGTGGATCATTGAAAGAGCCTCGTCCAGAGCTTTCAGATCAGGAGCTTTTCTGGGGAGCGGATCAGTATGACTTTGCCATCATGCTGCGCGCCGGAGACCTCCAGTGCTTCTGGCACTTTGCTCACTATGGAGAGCGCTTCTACTTACACTTCATGGTAAGACATTGTTCTGCATTTGAATATTAGTATGTACTTGAATCCTTCGAATGTTACAGCTCAGCATGTGTGTGTTCAGGTCCAGCTGGTGACTGGTGTGGCCCTTGATACACATCTGTCTGTGATTGTTAATGCGCCGAGCGGCTTAATAGTCGGCAAAGTTGACGATGCAAGTGGTCAGATTGGCTTCAGTGTTGAGGAGACTGGTGAGTCTCAACTTCATAGTGGTTTTAGTTAATCTGCTGCCTGTGTTATGAACAGAGAAATCATCTGTTTTTACAATCCAAAGTGGATTTCATGCGGACCATGCAGAGAATGCCAGACGCAAAATAATTCACAGAGAATTTTTTTATTCATGTTGTTCCAAATGTGTATAGTTTTTCCCTCCATAAAGTATTATACTAAATTAATTAACATCAAAGTACCATAATAAAAGTCACGCTTTCACACATAAAAAATATAAAAAGTGGAATAAATCAATAATCATGTGTTTTCGTGCAGGTTTTTATCAGATGTGCTTCAGCAATTTCCACAATCGCTTTGGAAGCATGCAGATTTTCCTGAACTTTGGTGTGTATTATGAGGGACAAGAGACCACTGAGAAACAAAAGGAAGAAGAGAAGAAAAAGAAAGAAGAGGATATGAAACAAATAAACAGTACATTGTCCTTCATTGAGGTAATAAACAACTGCATTTAGTGGCAACAAACACATCCTTACTGTAAAGTGATTTGCGTATATATATATATATATATATATATATATATACATACAGTATGTTTTTCAATTTCTTGAAAAAAAAACAATGTGAAAAATAGATTTTGTTATTTTTTGACACAAAAAATATATTTCTTGTATTTCACATATATATTTTTCCACACTCAACTGAAAAACGGTTTGCACTGCATACAGGAGAGCAGCGTCAGACTGCAGAAGTTTGTCTTCCACATGTGGCGTCACTACAACTACGAGCGAATGAGACGAGGAGCTGATTTCTACCTGCTTCAGTCCAACTCCACTTATGTGAACAGCTGGTCTGCTGTTCAGAGTCTCGTCATCATCACCGCTGGATTCCTGCAGCTCCGCTTCCTCAAGAGGCTCTTCAACAGCAAACCAGCAGAGGGCGACAAACCCCGCTGTTAACAAACACTAAACCTGCGACTGTTCATCTCCAAACCAGCAGAGGGTGACAAAGCCCACTGTTAACAAACACTAAACCTGCGACTGTTCATCTCCAAACCAGCAGAGGGCGACAAACCCCGCTGTTAACAAACACTAAACCTGCGACTGTTCATCTCCAAACCAGCAGAGGGCGACAAACCCCGCTGTTAACAAACACTAAACCTGCGACTGTTCATCTCCAAACCAGCAGAGGGTGACAAAGCCCACTGTTAACAAACACTAAACCTGCGACTGTTCATCTCCAAACCAGCAGAGGGCGACAAACCCCGCTGTTAACAAACACTAAACATGCAACTGTTCATCTCCAAACCAGCAGAGGGCGACAAACCCCGCTGTTAACAAACACTAAACATGCGACTGTTCATCTCCAATCCAGCAGAGGGCGACAAACCCCACAGTTAACAAACACTAAACCTGCGACTGTTCATCTCCAAACCAGCAGAGGGCGACAAACCCCGCTGTTAACAAACACTAAACCTGTGACTGTTCATCTCCAATCCAGCAGAGGGCGACAAACCCCGCTGTTAACAAACACTAAACATGCGACTGTTCATCTCCAAACCAGCAGAGGGCGACAAACCCCACAGTTAACAAACACTAAACATGCGACTGTTCATCTCCAATCCAGCAGAGGGCAACAAACCCCACAGTTAACAAACACTAAACCTGCGACTGTTCATCTCCAAACCAGCAGAGGGCGACAAACCCCGCTGTTAACAAACACTAAACCTGTGACTGTTCATCTCCAATCCAGCAGAGGGCGACAAACCCCGCTGTTAACAAACACTAAACCTGTGACTGTTCATCTCCAAACCAGCAGAGGGCGACAAACCCCGCTGTTAACAAACACTAAACCTGTGACTGTTCATCTCCAATCCAGCAGAGGGCGACAAACCCCACTGTTAACAAACACTAAACCTGCGACTGTTCATCTCCAAACCAGCAGAGGGCGACAAACCCTGCTGTTAACAAACACTAAACCTGCGACTGTTCATCTCCAAACCAGCAGAGGGCGACAAACCCCGCTGTTAACAAACACTAAACCTGTGACTGTTCATCTCCAAACCAGCAGAGGGCGACAAACCCCGCTGTTAACAAACACTAAACCTGTGACTGTTCATCTCCAATCCAGCAGAGGGCGACAAACCCCGCTGTTAACAAACACTAAACCTGCGACTGTTCATCTCCAAACCAGCAGAGGGCGACAAACCCCACTGTTAACAAACACTAAACCTGTGACTGTTCATCTCCAATCCAGCAGAGGGCGACAAACCCCACTGTTAACAAACACTAAACCTGCGACTGTTCATCTCCAAACCAGCAGAGGGCGACAAACCCCGCTGTTAACAAACACTAAACCTGTGACTGTTCATCTCCAATCCAGCAGAGGGCGACAAACCCCGCTGTTAACAAACACTAAACCTGTGACTGTTCATCTCCAATCCAGCAGAGGGCGACAAACCCCGCTGTTAACAAACACTAAACCTGTGATTTTTTTTTTTATTTTTTTTTTATTTTTTTATTTTTATTCAGTATTAACAATATAATACAACAACATCTGTTTATGCCAGGGTTGATACACAAAATACACTACTAAAACAGACATACAAGACAAACAATAACCATAAAATAAAAATAAAAAATAAAACAAGACCAAATTATATAAAAGGATGCAAATTAAACATATTTAGAGAGTACAAGATCGGTCTTAATAGCCTTTCTATTTTTAAGACCTCTTACAGTGGTGTGATATTGTTTTAGCTCTGCTAAAAGGTGTTCAAAATTTGGTTTGGACTCTGCCCATTTCTTCTTATGAATATGGAATTTTCCTAAGACTAAAAACAATTGGACAAAAAAAGAAAAATCCTTATCTGTTCCACCATCTTCAAAGTAAATAAACACATCTTTTCCCCTCAATGTTAAAGTTTGTCCAGTTTTACGTCTTATATAGTTTTCAACATCTCTCCAAAATATCTTACTGTATGCACAATCATAAAACAGATGACAAATTGTTTCATCATAATTACCACAAAAGGTACAGGAATATTCAATATCAATTTTAAATCTCTCTAAAGTTTTCTTTGCTGGGTATATTCTATGTACAATTTTATAAGACACCTCCTTTATTTTATTATTTAAGAGGAACTTGTCCCCAATTAACCACATTCTTTCCCATTTGATTTCTTCAAACTGAGAAGCCCAAAAGGATCGTGCTGCAGGAAGTGTTTTAGTGTGCATTAGATTCCTAATGTATTTGTTTGGACATTTTTTGGTAGTGATGTCAATGTCGCCAAGGAAAATTTCTTGTGTAGTCAAATAACTGCCACTTACAACAGTTGAGTTATATTTTAAAAACTGAATGATATTTCTTGGCACAGCATCAAAAACGATAGCATACTCCCTAGGGGAGACAGGAAATTTTGCTTTTGAAAGAAACTCGTCGTATGTTAGTAACTGACCTTCTGTGTTCATGAGTTGTTCAACTAATAGAATGTTGTTATCAACCCATCTTTGGTAATATATAGATTTATTTTTATATTGAATATTCCTGTTGTTCCAAATATAACATTTCGTGGGAGAAAAATTGTGTTTGTAGACCATTTTCCAGGCTAACAGGGCATGCTTGTGAAAGTTGGCCAACTTCACAGGTAACTTCTCAATTTTAAAGTCACATTTCAACAAGAAGTTTAAACCTCCCAGTGAATCAAAAATGTATTTGGGAAAGGTGTTCCAAATGGTCTCTGCTTCCTTAATTAAATTACTTAACCATCTCACCAAAAAGGAATTACTTAAGGTTTCAAAGGTCAACACTTCAAGACCACCATCTTTCCTTAAGTTACATAAAATATCTTTACGTAAATAATGGGATCTATTCCTCCAAATGAAATTAAATAAGATCTTATCAAGTTTTTTATATACACTAGCTGGCATTCCCATGGATAAAGATAGATAGACGGCACGTGATATCCCTTCTGCCTTAGACAATAAAACTCTGCCGTTCAGTGACAAATCCCTCATCAACCATATATTAAATCTTTTCCTTATTTTCTCTACTATGGGGTCAAAATTGAGATTGCAACGCCTTTTTTCATTTTTATCAATGATAACCCCCAAGTATGTTATTGTATTTTTAACAGGAATCCCACTTATTTCTGATAAGTCACATTCCTTTAGTGATAACAAGGCGGATTTATATAGATTCATTCTTAAACCCGAGACTTCTGAGAATTTTGTGATAGAATCAATTGCTTTGATAACCTCGTGCTTATTACGGAGAAATAATGCCGTGTCATCCGCTAACTGTGAAATTTTGAATTCTGTACCTAATGTCAATATACCTTGGAACTGGGCATTTTTAATATGTCTAGCCATAATTTGTGTAACAAGGAGAAAAAGAAAAGGGCTAAGGGGACATCCTTGTCGTATTCCACGACCAACCTCAAATCTAGGAGTTGTGCCATGCGCAAGTTTAACTGAGCTATTACATCCTCTGTATAGAGTTTGAATAGCCTTTAAAAACTGTTCTCCAAAACCAAAGCATTTGATCGTTTTTAACATAAATTGATGACTAACTGTGTCAAATGCTTTATAAAAATCGACAAATAGTACAAAACTATCATCTACTATATATTCATTGTAATCAATCATATCCAAAATCAAACGTATATTATTACCTATATTCCGGCCTGGCATAAAGCCTGATTGTTCTTCATCAATTATATCATCTAACCCTGATTTTAATCTTTTAGCAAAAATTAGTGCAAATATTTTAGCATCATTGTTCAATAAACTAATCGGTCTCCAATTTTCAATATTTAATTTATCTTTGTTTGGTTTGGGAATCAGTTTAATAAGTCCTTGTCGCATAGTTGGTGGGAGTTCCCTTTTCTTAATGGCTTCTATATAAACTTTAACTAAAAAAGGAGCTAACAATTGGTCAAAAACCTTGTAGAATTCACTTATCAGCCCATCATTCCCTGGCGATTTATTTTCTTTTAGAGAGGCAATACATTTTTGCACTTCTGATAAACAAATCTCTCTGTCACAAACTAATTTAAAGCCATCGTCAATGACATCAATATAATTTTGTTTACTTTTTAGGAAGAGATCCATGTTTTTTGCATTTTCGACATCAGTAGAGTACAATCCTTGATAAAAATCAGCAACGTATTTTGAAATCTGCATCTTATCATCACAGACAACATCATTGATTTTCAATTTACTTAGGGATGATACTTCAAAGTTTCTTTTTTCTAGATTAAAGAAATATTTAGTGCATTTTTCCCCTTTTTCAAGCCATTTCCTCCTAGATCTGACAAAAGCCCCTTTAGCTTTGTCTTCGTACATCTTGTCCAATTTAAGTTGTAAAGAAGTTAGTTCTGTAAATTCACATCCAGTTAAATTAACTTTCTCTGATAGCTTTATTAATCTAGTGATAACTCTGGATTCTTCCTCTCTCTTATCTTTGGCTATTTTCTTCCCTTGTATTATAGCTAACTTACGAACTTGAAATTTCATTAGCTCCCAGCAGCTTCCAAAGTTGTCATCAAGATTAGCTTTTCTCCAATATTTTCCAATTATTACGGCGGCATCATCCTTAAATTGTTTATTTTGTAATAGCATTTGGTTTAATTTCCAATAATCTCTGTTTGGTCTGTAACTAAGTATTATTAAATCTATCTTTATATAAATGGCTTGGTGATCTGTGAGAACAGTAGGTTCTGTATGAACTGAAACCATCTTGTCATCGATCTCCGAAGAGATCAACCAGAAATCTATACGGGACTGCTGTGACCTATCTTTATTACTCCAAGTATATATGCTTTTGTTGGGATTTTTGTGTCTCCAGATATCGACAAGACTCATCCTTTGACATACATTCTCCAACTCATCTGAAGAACTGTTTCTTGGAGGCCATCTATCCAGATTTCCATCCATAACTGTATTAAAATCACCTCCCCATATAATCTTGGCAGTAGGAAAAGTTGTAATCAGCTGGTTAATTTTATTTTCTATTGTTGTAAATAATAACTTGTTGTCTTTTTTGTTGTTACACGCATATATGTTTATAATAATGAATTGGGAATGATCTACATCACCAACCAGTATTACCCATCTCCCATTTGAATCTGCTAAATGTTTAATAATGTGCCCTTTGAAGTTTCCCTGTAAAATAGCGACCCCTGCTGACCGGTTACTCCCAAATGAAAACCATATATTTTTCCCCCATTGACTCTTCCAAAAAGAGTCCGAAAGAGTCCGTAATATCCG